TGATATATATATATATATATATATATATCATCTACACACATATATATATATATATATATATATATATCTAATACATTTCTTTTTCGTAATTCTCGAAGAATGTATCGTATTTACATATATCTGATATATATCATACATCTATATATATATAATACATCTTTTTCGTAATTCTCGAAAAATGTATCGTACATATATATACCTATATCTAATATATACATCATCTTTTTCGTAATTCTCGAAGAATGTATCGGTGATTTCGAGAAGAAAATAAAGGGAGAAAGAGATAGGAGAGCTTTGTTCGAACATTATCGTCGAATAACGCGATAAGGGATCAGAAGGGGAAGAATCTTTTGCGTTACGCAACAACGAATACCTTTCTTCCCCTGTTCTCCGACGAGTGATTTGGCAAGAATTACGCTTCCCTCTCGCATCGAATCGCTCCTCCTTTTGCTCGTTTGAGGAAACACGGAAGGAGTGGACGAGGGCCGCAACCCCGCGGCGTGGAACAACCTTACGCGGGTAGCGTAAAGGCCCTCGTAAAACGTTGGAGAAGATGAGCAGGATGCAGTGGACGTAGTGTACTGACGTAATGCGGTGTGGGAGTGGCGTGGCAGCGAAGGGTCAACGCCCTCCTCCTCCTCGGCGATAACCGTCCCCCCAACAACCCCGTGTAAACGAGAAATAAAAAGGAAGGGGGAAAAATTTTCCACCACCCTTGTCAAACCGAAATTTCCCTTTCCAATGTAATTTTCGTCTCTTATTCCTATCTATATTATCTTTTAGACAGTTCTAATATAATATGAATGGAGGAGTTGAGGCTTGATCGAAAATTCGAAATACATAGGATTGGATCAAGAGAATTGTAATAATTGTAAAAAGAAAAAGTAAAATTCTTGTCCGCTTGGATAATAAAAGGGACTAACATGGAGAAGTTGAGGCTATAAATATATAGTATATAAAATAAATATATAAATTCAAAATTCAAAATAAAATTCTTGGATATAAAAGGGACCAACCTTTGAGGGGAGGGGAAGGAATGCGTTCAAGCTTGAGCTTGTTAAAGCTCGAAATATTCAGGTGGGCGAGTATGGATCGTGAAAAAAAAAGAAAGAAAGAGAGAGAAAAAAAGGAGAGGAGGAGGAAGAAGAAAAGAGAAAACGCCGCGATAAAACTACGAATTTCGTGAAACCCCGATTCCACGCGTTCGAAGGATCGAAGCCTCTGACTGAACTCTCAGGTGATACCGTTAAACTGACTTCCGTCTGCCCACCTACCTACCTACCTACCTACTTTCGTCCTCGTACATCGCCCGACACCGTCCGTGCCGCGTAGTATTTCGCAATTCAACCGGCAACAGAGGAGGATATATATCTCTTTCTCGAGGGGCTCAAAATATTTGAACGAGTGGGACTCCGCCACACGCTAAATTCGTCCAAGAAAGTAATAGCGGAGACATAAGAGGCGAGAGAGAGCGAGAGAGAGAGAGAGAGCGAGAGCGAGCGAGAGCGAGAGAGAGAGAGAGATGGAGGGAAAGAGAGTGGGGCGTGTCTCTTGCAACAAAGTATCACCGGTTCACCGAGCTTCAGAATGATATTCGCCATCTCTTCGCTCGTCGCCGTCGAGCCGTTTAATAAATTTTTCCCTTCGTTTCAACCGAATCGTGAATCGGTTTTTCTCGACTCGATTCGCGCGCCTCGAATGAAAGAAAACCGTTTCACGGTTAATACGATCGATATATCGAGAGAGGGGGGAAGAATGGCAACGATGCGATAATAATAACGAAATAAAAAGAAATAAATAAATAATTGAGAAAAAGATAAATGAATAACGTAACCTTGGTTTCCTTTGCTTAAAAAAAAGGGGAAAAAAAAAGAAAATTTTATTATTCTCCGATAATCTTTTCATATCTTTGCTTACGCGAGGCAAAACGGTACGGCGTATCGTAAAAACGTTTCTATTCGCGGTTTTCCATGGGGAGTAGTCTGGTTGGTACCGGAGCATGTTGGTACCAGCAACTCGGCCGATGGCGCGCGCCCGCGCGCGAGAATCCAGCATATAGAATAGGTCACACCCTCTGGGGACCATTATTGCCGAGCACTGTACGTGCACGTGACTTGTATAGGGTCGAGACAAGTGGGTTGGTGCAGTCGTTACTGTTGTCCTCGGTACCCCCTGCTCGTTCAACGACCCCGCATGTATGCGCTCGCCATGCCACGATGTACGCGTGCACGCATGCATGCACGTGACGACGTCGTTGGGAGGCTCGCCGCGGCGAGGAGGGGCGAGGCGTAGGACGGGTGACTACGAAAAAGAAAAAGAAAAAGAGAGGAAAAGGAGAAAAGAAAAGAAAAAAAAAAAAGTCGAAATCAGAACCGATTTCGACTCTTTTATCCGGCCCGTTCGTTTTTCCAACCGAGGATGCGCCGCCACGCGCGCAACAATCGACCATACACGGTGAACCGGTATTCGAGAGAGAGAATCGGAATCGAACGAGGAAATAAGGAGATTTAGAAAGGAATCAACCACCTATTGTCGAGTCGACATCGTATTGTGTGTGTGTGACGATGCGCATATGCACGAAAAGGCGGGCAAGAATTTCGAAAAATTCTCACGAGGATGAATCTGTAACGCTTGTAAATCGAGCTACAATGGAATCGCGCGCGATCCTTTTTTATCGGTCGAGATTCGAGAAAGAAAAGAGAAAGAAAGAGAGAAAAAAGAAGAATACCTGTTGTAGCTCGAGAAAGGGTTCGAAGTTTTGAAAAAAATGTCATGGCGATTCGTCGAAGGTTACGTGCGCACGCATTACCGCGGCAGTTAGAGGCGCGCGCGTGTTAAATGAAACTGCGCGAGGCACGGAAGCGGCGGCGGGGTCACGTGGGCTAGACCAAGTGGGACCAAGGGTCACGAGAGACAGGAAACGGTAGTATTGTATGCCGGATGTCGTAACTTCCGAGTCCTTTGGCCTTTCGTGTTCCCCTTTACACGCGAGCGAGCGAGCGAGCGAGCGAACGAGCGAGCGAGCAATCGCGGTGACACTGCGATTCGTAGGAAAGGGGAGGAGCGAATTTGAATTTCGGCCGATCGAGAATCGAGGAGAAAAATTTCGGAACGGAGCACGGAATCGACGAGTGGCTTGGCGAGCGCCCTAACGCGCCCTCCTCGAGAGATCAGCCGAGCGAGCAATAGAACGAGAGAGTATACAAGTGAGGTCGTACTGTCGAGGCTTTTTGATAAGAGCGACAGAGAGAAAGAGAGAGGGAGAGAGAGAGGGAGGGAACGAGGGAAAGAAAGAGAGACGGCGGCAAGAAAGGGTGGGAGAGCGAGAGGGAGGGAGGGAGGGAGCGAAGAAAGAAGGGAGAGAAAGGGACGGTGGCGAGAGAACGAGAGGGAGGCAGGCGCGCGCGCGAGCGCGAACGCGCGAGGGGCGGAGGGAGGGTATAGTCGTCGTGAGCTCCTTACAGTGCATTGCCTTTACGATCCCTCGAGTCCCCGTCACACCCCGTGCCCCGACAAATCGCGTACGACGTGCCTCTCATGAAGAGATCCACGAAACCAGCTTCGCCGTCGAGCGATTCGGGTCGTCGAGATTCATCGAGAGGAAGAGTTTCTGTATGCGTGACAATGAACACGAAAGTATCGACGAGGTGTGTGTCTCCTCTGGCCACACATAGGGTATACCGCACCCCATGGGCTAGAGTTCTGATCTTTGCTTCGAAGCAAAAGAGCTGATCTCCTGCGCGGCGACGTTCTCCTTTCGTTCCCCTCGAGAACACTGAACTCACGTCTACTGTCTACAGTGGAGACTTTCACCGGAGTACGTTGTACGCGTTTCGAGGGTAACAAGATTATCATGTCGGTCTTACTCGATTCTCAATTTACGTTTCTCATTCTATATACGGTTATGAATTTCTTTTTTAAGTTGTTCTATGATTATCAGGACGATACGTCGTGTTTTCAAACGCGGAGTCTATACTATTTATCATGAATTTTTTATCATTTTTGTGAAATATGCCTAAATATTCGTTGGAAAATAAAAAAAATCGTTTGTCAAAAGCGGTATGAATTATAGGAAATGTTTCGAGATACGTTCCTATTCTTTTGTTCAGGTACAGAGTTCTCGTACACCTCCGAAAACGATTTACAAGTCGAAATGGTTTATAGCATCTAAAATAGGTTCTTCGAGTAGGAACTTTCGAAACAGCCACGTTTCACGGCGCACGAGCGCCTTCACAAGAGGGGAGCACAAAGATGTGTTCGTCCCCATCCCCACCACCCCCATTCACTCCATCTTACTCGGCACGTTTCTCATCTCGATGTCACGACAAATACGTCGCTTCCTTGTCGTTTGCATCTGATATATTACATAGATCGACACGTATTGCGTCTATACATGTACATGCATTTATCTCTACAATTTTTATTTACATCTCGTACCATGGAGATTGTGATAAAGAAAGTCGGCAAAGTAGGAGAAGAATGGCTTACGGAGAAGTTAACGCGAGTTTGATAAAAAAAAGATGTATCGTCCAGTGTTAGTCAAGTAGCACTGGTAGTACCGTAACTCGTGGATTTGTCGGTTGTCCTGTTTCACCTGTACTTGCAGTTCACGCTGGTTCACGCCCTTCTTCTTTTACATCGCTCTCACTAACGGTTAATCGACGTCGACCACTTCTTGCGTTCGAAAGAAAATTGAACGTACATGCAGCGCCATCGAGTAGCGAAATCGAGTAACGAATTTTGCCGCTATCTTCGCTTCTTCGTTTCGCAAAGTTCAGCTAATTGTTGTGTTTGAAAAACGCAAATGAGACAAATTATGAGAATTCGAATCAATCATTTGCATGTTTGAAAAAAATGGCATTGTTGCTCGATAAATTAAGATTAAAAAAGATTGTAAAATTATCCGTTCGATATATTGCTGGTAGTACACATGGAAAAGATCATTGGGTTTGTATCGTTATAACCCCACAATTATTGTTAAAACTTGTTATTAAAACTTGAATATTCTTTTTAAAAATTCGTTTAATTTAATGAAATAGACAATTATTTTTATAGTCTGTTGTAAAGAAAAAGAAAACGACAAAGGATAAAGCGCTAGAATACTTTGATGATTTTTATGCAAATATTTATAAAAACAGTTGGAAGAATATACGAACTGCGTTATTAAAAAAAGATTCCAAGTATATGGCTGTGGTTAATAATTTCAGTGATACGGAAAAAATTCGATCTAATTTAGAGGTAAATTGACATAACAATATTAAAAATCATAAAGTTATAAAATAAAAATATTAAAAAAATATTAAAAATTTATATTAAAAGGGAAAATAAAATTATTACAGCTACTTGGTGCGTTAAATTTAAGGAATCTATATAATGTACAGAAAGAAAATGTAGATTTTTTTAAGAGTAAAAGAGAGGCCAAGTATGGTAAATCTGACGATATACAAAATTCGATAGAAGCTGAAACATCTATAGATCAGATGGCGGAACTTCAAGCAGCTTATCCTGCTAATTATCCAAATTTAGAATCAGAAGCCTTAAAAGCTGAAACTACGGAATCTGATAAAAAAAGTGAAAATAAAATATTTATAAAATTACAATCTATAGATGCAAGTTTAAACGATATTAATATAGACAATACTCGTATTGTTGATTCATCTGTAAATTTATCTATGCTTCAAGAATATGTGCCTACTAACAAAATAAAAGGTTTGTTTAATTAATATATTCTTTTGAATTAAAAAATTAATACTATATTTTTTCAAATAAATTTCCATAGGCTTAGATGATTGGGTTTTGGAATCCGATCATTATAAATTTTATACTAAGGCTGATGATTTTAAGGTAAATGTTGAGAACGAGCATGTTTTGCCATTTCCAGAACATTTACATGTATATACTTTTGAAAGAGATAATTATACTAGATTTCCAAGTCCTAAAAAAGGATCTACTGGTGTATTAGGTTTGTATTATTTTAATTTCAATAATAATAAAGCTAATTTTCTATATATCTTAAAATATTGTATTAATTATTAATGAAATATATAATATTACCAATATATTTTATTTTTAGATTATTATTTATTCGATGGCGGATCTATACTTCCTGTATTAGCTCTAGATATACAATTAGGTGATATTGTACTTGATATGTGTGCTGCACCTGGAGGAAAAGCTTTAACTATTCTTCAAACTCTCATGCCACGTTTACTGATTGCTAATGATATTGTCAAATCTAGAATAAAAAGAATTGAAAATGTCATGAATCAATTTGTTTCAAATATTTGTGAGAAAGAAAATATGTTTCTTATAACGCAACAAGATGCTAGAGCAATCAATGAAAATGGTAGATATAATAAGGTGTACATCTTAATGCAATGTCTTTTTTATTAGTGTTTAATGTTTTAATGAAAATTGATATAAAATTCACATTTATTAACCTTTTTAGATTTTAGTCGATGTCCCATGTACAACAGATAGACACAATTTACATTCTGATGAAAACAATATTTTTAAATCAAGCAGGCTTAAGGAAAGATTAAAATTGCCAGAAATTCAGTCTGAAATTTTAGCGTCGGTAGATGAAATATATCTCATATTTTTCTATTTCATAATAAATAATTAATTTTTAATTTTATAGAAATGCATTGAAATTAGTATCGATAGGGGGTACAGTAGTTTATTCAACATGTTCTCTTAATCCAATACAAAATGATGGTGTTGTACAAGTAGCATTAAAGAAAGCATGGCAAGAAAGTAACTGTGTCATGGTTGTAAAGTATGTATTTCGTATATTTCTCTAAATATATTATTACATTAATATTATTACATATATATTATATTATTTACATTAACTTCTTACGTATTATATGATTCTTGTAGAGATATGACAGAAGCATTGTTGCCCTTACGATGCATATATGACTTTGGCAAAATTGGTTTAAAATATGGTCATATTGTTATACCCACTTCTCATAATAATTGGGGTCCAATGTATTTTTGTAAAATAGTAAAAGTACAGTAAAGATAAATGAGTATTTCTTTTCTATATTAAATAAATAAATATTTAAATTTGTACTTTTAATGTAAATATTGTTATTAAATATGTTTAAATATGTAAAATATTATCTTTAATAAATAATATTTAATATTGTATATGTATAATAGTAATAAAAAAATATATTTTATCATTCGTTATAATAGTGTAAAGTATGAAAAAATTTTCATATAAAAACAAAAATTTTAACGCAATAATGATGTTAAATGTATAAATAAGTTCCTTGTAGAATAAAGATTATTAATGATAATCTTTTGTATAATATCAAAAATTGAATTAGAAAGCTTTTTGAAAGTTGACTTTTTGAAAGTCACACATCATTTCTTAAAATCTTCTTTTAATGGTAATGTTTGATCACTGATCTCTTCATCGATTAATTTAGTTTTATTCCAGGGTTGTTCTTCTCCATTTCCAAAAACAGTGTAAACTATTATTTCAATTATATACAAAACAACAGTTGTAAAAAATATAATTCTCCATGCTCCTATAGTTTGCTATAAAAGAAATTGAATAATAATAGCGTTAATAATGATATTATCATTAAATAAGATATTTTACTACATAAACACTCACATTTCCGTGCGTTAATTTTCCAACAAATATTGGCACTACAAATCCAGGTATAGTAGCAATACAGTTCGTAATGGCAACGAGAGTACCAGCAAAATTTGGAGCAATGTCAATATGATTGGATAGAAATCCACTATACATTCCACCAATACAAGTTACTCCAATAGTCATTAATGTAACAGCTAATGTACGATTACATCCAACATAAGATACTCCTATTAAACAAATCATGGGAACAACAGATGCTAAAAATAAAAATTTTAATAATTATTATTGAAACTTATTTTATATCTCCAAGATATACATATATATATATATTAATGATAAACTTACAGAATAATGTCCCAATTTTTCTTGATACCGTTACTGAAATTAATTTTTTATCCTGCATTATGGCTAACACCTTACTAAGAACCATAGTGAAAATCCACATGCATAAAAATGGCATGGAAGAAAGACCAGCATTCTATTCAATAAACGAAAAAAGATAATTAGAATCGTTGTATTATGATATTGTTTAAATTTCCAATTTTTAATTTCCAGTTACAAATTACTCACAGAACTCATGTCGAATTTTAGTATTTGATTCATAAAAGTAGGAAGCTCAATAAGTAACATGTACCATCCAAAATTACTACAGAAATGAGCAATTAAAATTGCCATAAATGGTTTAGATCGTAACACTGCACCCCATGGAACTGATAGCCTCTAAACACAAGACATATTTTATATATATATATTACATACATATGATTCTATATATATATTCTATATATATAGAATATATATATAGAATCATGAAATTTTTTTTTAATGTTAAACGAACTTTATGTTCACTATTCCTATTTTGACCTAAAGATTCCATAATGTAATTCCTTTCCTCTTCGCTGATAAGCATCGTTTGTTCCTCTGGACTATCCGCGATCACAATCCACCAAACCGTGCACCAAATTAGACAAAGTGCACCTTCAATGTAAAATATCCATATCCATTCGAAATTCGCAGCCAACATTCCCGTTAAGAGTATAGAAATCACAGTGCCAAGTGCAGTTCCTAGAAGAAGCAGAGAATAATATATATTTACACGACTAAAAAAAAAAAATATATATATATGTTTTTACCTGCATAAACGATCGAAGCAAGAACGCTTCTCTCGTTTGGTGGAGCCCATTTAGCGATCATAACGTGCATTGCCGGAAACGTCACGCCCTACAATTAAAAAAAAAAAAAAAAAAAAAAAAAAAAAAAAAAAAATATAATATTTAATTCTAAAACAATTAAATATTGAACAATTTTTTAATCGACTAACCCCACCGATTCCTTGAAGAAATCTCATCACGATAAAGAGAGAATAATGGGTTTGAGCAGCAACAGGTGATAATATAGATGCGACGACGTTCAGAAGTACCGATCCATTCATCACCCATTTGGCGGATAACAGTTCGGCCATTCGTCCCCCCGGAAGTAAAGATACCATGTATCCCCAGAAGTAGGATGACAAGATAAGGCCTTGTAAAGGTTCGTTCCACACGAATGGACCATCCTGTACGTGTTAAAAAAAAGTTGTGAAATTTTCATTTGCGAAAAATTTTTAAAAATTTCTTTATAATCATTCCATTCCATAACAACTTCGAATTAAATTATTTTAAAATTAATTTCGCTTCGTAGACGTTCGTATACAAGTATACGCATACCTCGATGATGATTTTCGTCGTCGCGTTAGAAGAAACATCATGGTGATGACATTCGTCGGCCACATTCGTCGCATTCCCCGATTCCAATTGATGCAACGCGGACAATATTACAGCAGTGTGGTTCACCATAGCTACGATGGCCACACTTACGTTTACCTTGAAACCGTAGATAATGGCGAGCCCAATAGAGCCCATAATCGCCATTACGTATCGTGTAGGAAACGTGGCGTGCCCTGTTTCTATAAATATGTGTATTTAAAGAATTTTAAATGTTTATTTAATGGAACAAAGTGGTCAGTCTTTTTAACAATTATAATGATTAGTTGATAATAAAAATCGTATATATATATATATATATAAGAATGAACAAAGGAATTTTTTAGCATGAAGCATAAAGTGTTTTTCAATTATTCTTCGCAACCGTACTTTTTTGCGGTTGTTATTATATAATGTTCTATCTGCAAATAAATAAAATTAAATAACGATTTTTAAGAAAGGTTAAAAAGTTATCGAGAAAGTATTAATTTACGCAATTTGAAATATGATAAATTTACATGTAAAATTAATATCTTTCAAATTTTCTTTCAATTTAATTATCATTTTGAACGACAAAAAATTAAAAAAAAATTTTATTTCGCTACGTTGATAGATATTCGATAAACAAATATTCAATTATTTATTAACAATAATGAAAAAAAGGATCATTACAAGTTTTTAGACCTAAATACTTTTCTTTTTATTCCACGCATTTATTTTCGGTATTTATTTTCGAATATAGGTCAAGAAACGTGTAAAAACGAAGTTTCAAAATATTTTTTTTTTTTTTCTTATTTTTTACGAATATATCGCGCAAAATAGAAAGGAAATATATCATTTCATGTCAAAATCGATGAAATGTTTGAATAACAAATTAATGATTTTTTTTACAGATAAATTATCAATGACAATATCGTTATCAACTACACAACTATTAAAATCATGCAAATTTATATTATATGAATGACTAATGACTAACATGTGTCATAATAAATGCATAGCGTTGCATCAACTAGATGGAAATTATATTCGATGGAAACAGCGTGATTTCAAAATTATTATTATTATGAATTACATCGTGTATTTAATTTTTCAAAAAATTAAAAATATCACAAAAAATATTTTATTTATTTTTTTTTTTGACTCGATACAAAACTTATTCGGCGAAATTTTATAAAATGTTTAAATAAAAAAAAAAAAAGAGAGAGAAATGAGTAGAGGACACTTGAAGGTCACAGAGATAGAAACTCGACTAAAAGGATAGAATTTCGAAAAAAATTGAAATTCAATTAACTTTCCCCCCTTTTACGAACTCATTAATGTACAATCTCTCGGATCAGAATCGTACTATAATTACTTACCCTTGAGATTACGTTTTCCAGTCATAATTTTCCCTCGACGATACGTATTTTCTCTGCCTTTTCGAAATAAAAAAAGAAAAAAAAAAAATCTTCGTAAAAGAGTTTACAATTTCTTTTCGATTACAATTGCAATTCAAACTGCAATTTAAGAATTAATAAAATTTCTACGAATTCACAAAATTAATCGTCGCTTAATATTTCTCGATTTAACGCCGTTTCCGAATTCGAAGAGAAATTTTCGTGAAATACGATTTTTAGCCCGAAAAATTTATAATCGATTATTGGACAATGTAAATTTCGAAAACTTGTCAATTTACAATTCTCTCTTTGCTCCCACTTTCGTTTGTTCCTCGTTCGCGCAACATGCTACTGAAAGTGAACGCGATACATCAGATCCTCCAAACTATACGAAGGAAAAACGGAGCGTGCGCCTCTTCTATAAATGCCATAGGCGTGTGAACGCAGGCTCAAATTCATCGTCTTTCCAATACTACTCCTTGTCGGTGTGACGATATCTATGTATTTTCAACCTGCCCGTTCATTCCGAGAACGTGTGACTTTAATGAAAATGCACGTAAATATTTGACGGATTACGTCATTAACATTAGACTCCTAACATCTGCAATAATATTATTTAATATTGTTAGATTTTCAGATTTTACAATGTAAAATATATAGTGTAAATACATATATAAATATTATTCGGATTTTTTCTTTATTATCGGATATTATTAAATTTATAATATTTAATATTTAATATTTTTACGATTTAAAATTCTAATATACATATTGATTCAATCAGATACGACATCACTTGCAATGTGTATTTATTCGTTATAAGTTTGCTATATTGAAAACTTGGATATAAAATTCTAGCTTTATCTTTATCGAGAACGATAAAAGAGTGAAAGACGAAGATAAATTGAAAGTCAAAGCGTTTGAAAAAAACTTTATGATGTATTGTTTCGGGAAAGTTCTTCTTAAACATGTGTCCCTGATAAATATTGAAGCATATAATATCATTTAAAGTATTAAATAAATGAATTAAATAATTTGATTGTAAAAGAAAAAAGAAAAAAGGAAAAGAAAAATTTATTGATGTATTTTTATATTTTCGTAAGATTCAAGTTATTAATTTTTCTGTATATATAAGAAATGCAATAATTGAAATTTCAACGTTATACCATTTATCCGTTAATTTGATGGAAGGAAGCGCATGATGAACCAAAATGAAGTTGGATTCATAAATAGGTTACAATATACATATGTCGACCTAATCAAAATTTGCAAATTGACAGTATGTAACAAAAATAAAACGATGACATTTATAAATTCCAATGTATAAAAATAAGTTCTTTTTGAATTTTAATGATAAATAAGTAAGCTAGAAACATGAGCGAGGAATTAGCACCTGACCCTACCCTTGAAGAAATATATACATGGATCGAGCAAATACAATTTTCAAAACCAAAGAAGAATCTTGCTCGAGATTTTTCCGACGGTGGTAATAATGAAAAGTTCATACATTTTATAAGCACAATTTATTTTTTAATTGGCTAATGTTTAAAAAATATTTTTTTCAACAAATCCCAGTTTTTATGGCTGAATTGTTAAAACGGTACTATCCTAAAAACATCGATATACATAATTATGTTCCTGGTAATAGCGTTGCAAAAAAAATAGATAATTGGTGTACGCTAAATCGGAAGGTACTTTCAAAGCTTGATATCAAATTAGGAAAAGATATAATCAATAAATTGGCAAATTCGCAACCTGGTATTATTGAAAAAGTTTTAATCGAATTGCGAACTAAAATTTTAAAAGATTGTAATACGGAAAGGAATAATTTATATTCTGAATATCAGGAAAACGAAAAACCAGGTAAGTAAATGATTACAGCCAAATAATATAAAATTTCGGAAAAAATTTGTATAATTTTTGAGCAAAATTTTATTTTCTATAAAGAAGTTGTTAAGTCAGTGCTCAATACTGAAGAAGTAGCGAATAAAACTGTTCCACGTCATGTTTTTGTTCGATTAAAACAGGAATTAGAAGAAAAAAATGAAATGATAAAAATGCTTCATCAAAAGGTATCTCATCTCGAGTCTTTGATAAAACTAAAAGATCAAAGAATTACAGATCTTACTTCACAAATAATAAAACCTGTAGAACAAAATACACCAAGATCTGTAAATTTAAGTTCCACATCTAATGTAGTTTCAAAACTTCGAACGAAAATTATATAGATAATTAGATATTTTTGAAAGTTTGAAATGTTTTGAAAATATTTTAAATAACAGTGTACTTCAAAAAATTATATTATTTATAAACTTTTAATTAATATATCATTTTAACATAGTGTACCACATCTTGATTTGTTTTTTTCATTATTTAGATTACAATTTTTATAACTATTGTTATAGATTTTTATTATAATTAAATCTATTAGTTTATTGATTTTTGTTGATACTTGTTAAATGCTCATTACAAAAGTTGATAAAATTGTATCAACGTAAAATTATATTATTTGTTTCTTATTTTTAGATAGATTCAATGTAAATAGAAATTTTATATTGGTGCTCTCATACTTGGTGGTGAAACCAAAATTACACCATCACCACGAACAAAAAGCATAGAAATATTCCTTTTAGTCGTACGATAAACTTCCTCGTATGTTTCTTCATCAATTTCTACGGTAGTTACAGTTTCTTCTGCTTCGCCCAATACCATATTCAAATGTTGGTCATAAGCCTGTAAATTAAAAAATTAAAAAATTTTATATTATTAAATTTTTTTAAATTGACAATATAAATGTATATATAATAGACAGATAAAAAAATAATATTTACATGTAATCGTCCCCGTAATTCTCTCTCATTTCTCATTTTAACATATATTCTTTCATCAAGACTCAATCTTATAAGATCTAAGGGTTCTTTAACATTTATTGCTGGCACCTGAAATGAAAATATATAAGTGAGGTTATTCATAAAATTCTAGAAATACTTGTGTTTGATCTTGAACTTTATCAATATGCTCACTTCATCCAAAAACAAATATACATGAGGTTATAATACGTATAATAGGTTAGATTCATGTTGTAAAACTTTAAATCAATGTTTTTACCTGTTCTGTCTCGTCAGCCATGATATAATTAAATTCAATATTATTTATTTATTTTATTTTTAATTTATAAAACTAGATTAACTTTTTACGTTTATGTTTACAAACAAATATAAATGTTTAGTTTACTTTCTACAAAATCAACTATTGCGCGGCATCATTCGGATAAACCGGCAATATTATCATTTCATGATATCAAACTATCATCCGGCAAGTGGCGCCATACATTTCTCAAGATATTTTCCTAATTTATTAAAATTTCCTTAATCATTAAATAATATTCATTATATCATTTTCATTGAATAACAAATTAATTAAATCTTTTGATATTTTTTTTATAAATATAAATATATTCTATCGTTCTATAGTTTTTATTTTATATCGAAAAATACTTTGATTTTCCCGCGTATTAGTTATCAGCTTATCCGCATCAAGGAATGGGCGCTACTAGTCGACGATAGAAATCAGCGTAGCTTGAGGTATTGCTAGAGTGAACGAGCGCGAGGGAGCGAGCAACGCCATTTTCTCAATTCGCGGGTGAAGACTGTGCGCGGTGTGTGACTTGTTTGATAAAGTTTATCCACGATTCTGTTTCACGACGTCGAAATTACGGGCTGTTTGACGGCCCTGGTGTATTCACCAGTGTTATGCATAGACACGCGGCCAGCTGTGTGGTAGATATGGTGAGTTCAGAGAGATCGAAGCGCTCCCGGGAGACGTGACGTCTTGTCAGTCGGCCTTTTCCCATTCCCCCTTCTTGGTGAGCTCCCGCAGGGATGGGTCGTGCAGAGTTGTCGTTTATGATAACGTAACATAAACTAAACGGTAAATCGAACACACGTTTGTCCTTGTCGATTACGATTTCACGTGTAATAAAAAAGAATCGTGGTGGAATCAGGAGCCCGTAAAATGTTTCGTTCGGGCCAATGGGCGGAGGTTTAGGGCGGCACATGGCTGTTGGGGCGCCGGCTGTGCAGGGGGTGGTTTTCCCGACGCTAGCTCGAACTGACGAAAATTCACTATTCTTGTCAGTTACGATATTCTATGCGTACGTATATCTCGATCGTGATCGCGTGTAATTGCGGCCGGTCACGGTTCGGATAACAAGTTCATAGTGACAGTGGAAAGAGAAGTACTCCGTTATATGTCTTGATTTTCTTATTGAAGAAGAGAAGCAGCCGGAGGCTTCGGCCTTTCGCGGATTACGCGCGTCTCTTGTGTGCTATAGTGTTCTGCATTTTCTTCACGTAAAGCTTGGACAAAGGAACCAATACTGATCACGGACGATCTCTGGAAGAGAAATATTCGACGATCTTTGTGTTGCTGCGAAGCAGGGACAACGGGTAACGTAAGCTCCTTTCATATATGGTTTTGTAAATTGTGATATCGTGTGAATCGTTTAATTTGATCTTCCACGATGATTTATTAATGGACCGTTAGATCTCGTGGAATGTATATGCGTCAGTATTATCGATCGATGCTTGTTGACATACAGAAGACTCTTCTTTCGTTTTTTTCTATAAACGAATGATATAATATAGTTATCTTTACATTTATAGCGTTCACTTTTATCTTTCGTTCGATTCGTTTACATTGGCGTAACGTTTCAACAATTTCAAGGATTATTTCTTAATTTTCTACATTTATGTAATTGATTATGATCAAATAGACAATATACTTTTTTTTAAATTTTAAAACCGTTACAAAAATCCAATTTGTCACGAATTTATTCTATTACAAACGTATTAGATACACGGTATGATCCTATATTATACATAGGAGTTTGGTGATTAAAATTCGCCGTGACATTCATGCGCCAATTAACTCGCCCGACCTTGTTGACATTTTAAACGTTTTCTGCCCTCTCAAGAAATCCGATAGCTAACTTCACACGTATACTTTCAACAGTTGCCTCGCTAATCTTGGATCATCTTTTTCCGATAGGTCTTCCTATGTGTATCGTTTGTCATTTTACAAATTCATTATTACATTCGGTATAAAACAGTATTCACAATTCACCCGTTTAAATTTGTAGCGTTAGTCTTATGTTAATGTATTGTTTTATTACTACTGGATTACTACTGGAAGAATGAAATTAAAAAAAATGAATATATCATTTTTTATGAATTTTTCATGTATAATATTCTTTGATTTGTAATTAAAAAAAGTATAATATTATATAATTAGTGTAGTAATTAAATATAATTTATACGTTGTATATTTTCAAAGATAATTCTCGATGATTTGAATTTTTACGTTGTTTTCGTAGTTATCTATATTTTATTTTACAGTGATAATTTTATGATATAGAAGCGATAAATTTATGATACACGTTTTACAATATTATGCAGTGGGTACCCGATTAACCGGCTTAATTGAGACCGGGCAAGCCGGTTAAATCGAAACCAATTGGATAATTCGGAGGCCATGATTAAACTAAATATGGTTATTTATAGAAATTCATCTATATATCTATTTATGATTTTACAAATAAATAAGATTCTCAATATTTTATTTTTTAAATATAATAATATTTTCTTTAAATTTATTATCTTTAAATTTATAATAAATCGTAATATATTCATATTTTAAATCCTATTATTTTATTCTTATTTATATTATTATTTTATTTCTATAAATTAAGATAAGCAATCATTGATTGAAAATATCATAAATATTGTTTAGTTATTATATAATTGTTATATTAATATTATATAATTGTTTAGTTATTATAAAAATAGCGATTTATTTAAATTAAATTAAAAAAATTATATATTTCTTTCTATCGAATCGGATTTATAATGAAAGCACAATTCTGCGCAATGTCACATTGCGCAGGCAGTTAAATAGTAACGCTAATTTATATTAAATCGTTGTGCATTCGATAAATTTCGGTAAATTACATCGAAACAAATTGCGCACTTCAATTCAAATGGATTTTTTATTTTATCCTAAACATTATTTGTAGAATGGTAATCGTAAAAATAAAGTATTCAATTTTTTCAAAATAGATTATATAGTTCCTCGTTTCTGTTTCGTGTTATTTTTCAGTACGTTACACAAGTAATATAGATTGTTGTATAATGTATCGTGTGAAGTTGCGCGCATACTCACGAACACGTGTCCGGACACGCGACGTGTGCGGGAGAACGAATTCAAAATAACCGTGTGTTTTATGGGTGGAGTACCGTCGAGATATTTCTTTATTCATGAGTGCAAACGACGAAGCGGCACGGCGTGCATTAATCCCTTGAAATCGTCGCTCGACCAAAGCGCACCAAGCCGAGTGTGTTTTTAACGCTCGTCTGCATTGAAACGCTTTACGTGGAAAACCGAATTACGAATTTATGCAACGGATAAACACATGCATCGGAGCCCTTTGAGGAACTTATCCGTTTACCCAAGATGGAAAGCATTGATAGTTGATGACATGTTATTACGGTAGATGGTACACGTTTCGTGTTTAAAATAATTAGGGGATTGATCAGTTACAAAGACGACAAAAAATATTTTTTTCCGCGAAATATACTATATCGAATAAAGTCAATTATTCATTATTTCTCTATTATATCTATTTAAATTCATAAATATCAAATATATTGCAATGTATCATACTGAAATAAGATTAAAAATTATTCTCAACGTGTTAACGAAGAAGAAATGCAAAAACTAGAGAAGTTAACGCGATCGCATTTATCTCTATCAATTCAATTATTTATTTATTCAAATATTTAATATTCAATTCATATTATTTTTCAACTTTATGTGAACATTCTCTCAAAAATGAATTTTTTTTTCCTCCTAAAATGTCTAACTACACTCACTTTGCTTCTCGATACGCTTTCACACACTCGAAAGTCCATTATACCGATTTGCACGTAGCGTATTAAACCATGCACGTCACGAGTTGATATTAGCCGATGATTTACGAGGCTCACTACGCGCAAATAATAACGGCTATCCTGTCCTATAGTGATTCACGTGCAAAAGCAGGGATGAAGTAATGCGACTGTTTGTCACTGCGTAAAAAAAAAAAAAAAAAAAAACTGATTAAACAGCAAACGGAGCGCACAATCCAGGTTTCATCGTTCCGTGTTGGAATCCTATTATCGATACGTCCCCCGAGAATTCTTTCAAACGCGAAATTTCAATTACGCGTGGAAACCGAAACACAATCATTCACGAGCTTTCGTAGTTAAATTGCTTTCTCTGTTAAATGTATTTATCGCGAAATTCTACAGATTTTTAAATAGATTTTTATCATTAATTGCTTACAATTGTTTCTTATTTCTTACAAACGTTAATTTTAGGAATTTCTAGTTATTTTTGCTTGCCAAATGCTCGTTATTAATTCCCTATAACCAAAATTTCACACATCCAAATTCTCTACAACCAAAATTTTACTATTCGCATAATTTTACGAATCGAAACAGATGCGTCACGCGGATATTGATCCTTTTGGTGAACTATTTACGGTATAACGGTACAAATAGTAGAATAGTAGAATAATTATCGAAGCATGGTCGAGCGATCACCATCTCGGAATCCGATGTGTTATCGCGATAACTTTCCACTTTCTATTTTTTTATTCTCTCTCTCTCTCTCTCTCTCTCTCTCTCTCTCTCTCTCTCTCTCTCTCCCCCTCTCCCCTCCCCCTCGTTTCCAGAAAAAATGCATCGTTACACGGCGCATTGTTTCGAGATTAACGACGCTTTTGCCAAACGATATGTGGCAGAAGAAATGGGGACAACTTAACTCTAGGATTCCACGATCGAGCATCGAGCGTTGTCGCACAATCTAGCGCGTTTTGCATCGCCGATTTGTTTGCCGCCACTTTCTTACACGCTATGAAATATCTCGTGCATATTTATAACGCAACTCGTGGATTTTTATTTATCTTTCCCACTATTTAAGAAACAGATCCATCGTCCAATTATAGATACTTGGTAAAATTGTTATCGATCGAGAAGAAACTTTTAAAAATAATTGAAACCAATAAATAATACTATTTATTCGGAAGAAAATTTTTTTGAAAATAATTAAAATATCGGACAAATATGAATTAAAAAATAATATGAAATATGAAAAATTAAAAATCAATAAAATATTTGATTTTTAATTCATTTAATATTTGATACGTATAACAAT